ATTAAAGGATAAGGAGGGGGTAAAAGTATATTTTTAATAGTACATGGGTTCAGGTGATAATACGTGAAACCTCAAGGGAGGTGGGTGATAATTTCCCTAAGAGTTATGAGGCTGGTGAACAAGATAGGGACACGGAAATTGATCCTCATGAAAAATGATATCCCGCCTAGTGATGGGATCAAAACAACGATATCTCTTATAACCCGCCCCATAACCAAGAAACACACACCAAGTCACTGAAGTGATAGCTTATTTGCCGACGTGGCAATTTTATTTGGAAAACGCTCACGCCCAAACACTCTTAAAAAATACGGTCCGAGGATTTATTTAAAAGTTTTTTATACATACGGACTAAGATCACGTAAAACCGGTGGTCCGGAGTAGAAAGACGATTAATTACGTACGTAGCTGCATAAAGAGCATACACCCAAAATTGAGGAGGAAGATGGGCCTCGATGAGCATGTTACGAATTAATTCTAAAATATGGCGGTGTTTGCATTCTACTACTTTGTTCTGAGTAGGGGTGTCACGCACGATTTTTGAAAAAGTATGCCACACTGAAGAAAATGATTATGAAAAATGTGATTGTCAAACTCACCCCCACCATCACTCTGAAAGCATTTGATTTTACAATCCAAAAGATTTTCAACTAATTTTTCAAAATGACAAAAATGCATAAAAACCATAGAATTTATGTGCATGGGATAGACCCAAGTAAACCTAGAGAAATCATATATAAATCAAACATAATACTACCTCCGTCCCAATATGTTTGGGATAAGAGGGTGTGACACAACTTTTAAGAAAAAGTTGAATTGTGTGGTTGATATTGAATTGATAAAGTGTGAATAAAGTAACAATGAATTGGAAACACTCAAATATTACCAAATATAGTGTTTGACAAACTTAACGCGACGAACGAAAAAAGTAAAACAAGACAAAATTAGGGGGATAGAGGGAGTACTTAAATTGCAAATGAGGAAGACCAGGAGTTTGCCAAACGTCTGAATGAATTAATTGTAACAGAGCAGTAGCAGAATGTAAAACATCTTAAAAAGGCAATCTATGAGATTTGCCAAGTCTACAAGTAGTGCAAGAAAAACGAAAAAGTACTAGACTTATTAATTAAATTTGTGCGCCGCAAAGTAGACAAAACACTATCACGACAATGGCCCAACCATTTGTGCCAGACTGAACCAAGAGCGGAAGAGGAGAGTAGAGCAGGTGAAAGGCTGGGTGGGGTGAAGGGTAGATCATATCCTTATGGAAAGCTTGGAGTAGTGTTGTCCCGTGTGATTGTCCTTAACATAAAAAATATTTTTGTCAAAAATAACAGTACAATCATTATCCTCACATAACTTTTGAATATAAAGTAAATTAAATTTCAAATGTGGGACATGATATACAGATTTTAAAGTAAGTGGGCGACCAACTGTAGGTAAAAGGACATCATGCACCAATTTTAGACACCGATAAATTAGTGTCATTAGCAACCTGCACATTAACGGGAGTTGAAAGATTAGACTTATGAGACAAAATACCTTCGGTGGGTGTCATGTGCGCCGAGACTCCAGAGTCAGGGTACCATACAGACTTATTAGTGTCTCCCGTAGGTAACGCAACAAGACCCGGAGTAGAGCCAGAGGTAAATCTAGGACAAGGTAGAGCAGAATGACACAAAGAAAAACACAATTAACACACAATGGGGGGCAATAGTGAGTTATAGAATCATCAACTGATGAGGAACATGCACCATTAGTATTAATACCACAAATAGAAGGTGTAAAAATGGAGAATATACCAAAGGGAGATTACAAATACCTGCACCTGGTGACCCAGAAGAGGAATGTCTTTGACGGCCGGAATAGTGGTCAAATCCATGAGACTGCTTGTAATATCCTGGAAACACCGGCTGTCCATAGTGTGGCGCGAGACCATAAAATGCACTCGGAGGATAATGACCACGTCTCTTCCCCGCTGGCCTCGACCACGGCCTCCACGTGCACCGCACCCTCCTTGTCACTGCTGAGCACCCCCTCGGCCAGTGGGTCCCTGTGAGTGAGTTGCTTGGTTGTTTGATTGGCCAGTGGCCGAGAACGCCTGGTGAGCCGAAGGAGATGGGTCTTGATCTTGAAGAAAAATGTGGCGCATTTCTTGAGCAGCAAGAATGGGCTAATACCTCCCAGGATATTAGAGATCGTGGTAATTAGAGATTCAAATTGTGATCCAAGCCCAAGAATGGCATACTCAATGAGATCACGATCACCAATGGGAGAATCAATAGCTACTAAAGAATCAGCCATGCCCTTGATTTCTCTAAGATATTGATCCATGGTTTGCGATTCTTTCTTCGTGATGTGAGATAACTGACACTTGAGTTCCATGGATCGTGCAATACTAGCGATCATATATTGATTTTTGTAGACATGCCCAAATATGCGAAGAGAATTTCAAGTCATATACATCAATCAAAGTATCCTGAGAGAGTGTCGCAAAGAGCCACGATCAAACCGTTTGATCAATTTTCAACCAATGGTGATATTCGGGATTCACTACTTCACGGCCTGAGATGTCAAGCGTGTACATGGGTGGAGCCGCAATGGTCTCATTCAAAATACTGAGCAGTCCATGTGAGACCAAGAAGGACTCAAATTGTGTGCGTCATTGGAGATAGTCTTCAACCGCATCTAGACGTGTTGTTACAATATTAGTCACGTTGGGCGTGGAGAACATCAATTGAGACGCCTAAGTGGACACAGATGTGGCCGAAGAATTAAAAGCGGGTAGACGGCCAACCGCCATAGGGAGGACGGGGAAAGTTCCAGGTTGACCGGATAAAGTACTCCCTGAAGAGCCTTTGATGACTGGGCAGGAGCAATCATCATCGAAGGAAGTAAAGCAGGAGGTACGATCGGCGATGGAGTCCAAGTAAATGGCTCCGACATATTAGATAACGCAAAGAGAAGACCGACTACTGCATAGGAGAAACCCAGGAAGAAAACGACACTCCTGAAAGTGGTTTCTCCTGCATGAGAGATGTGGAGAGGGCATCCTGTGTGACGGCGGAAACCACATGTGAGGCATAGATAAGCGACGTCGACACCTGAGAGAGAGAAGGCTGCTCGACGTCGTTCGTGGAAGTTGACGCAGAAGAAGGTGCCGCCATAGTTAAGAGCTTTTTCCTTGAATACTACTAATTTGAAGCTAATTTCCAAAAATGTGACCATTTTTACCAAAGGATAAAAAAAGTGACTAAAAAGGTCACATATTTGGAAAAATTTAATGTCATGCCATTTTTTATGTCACTATCAGATTTTTATGTTACTACCAAACTTTTATGTCACTTTTAAAATGTCACTACCGGTTTTCATGTCACTTTTAGATGTCACTATACCGGAAAACTATGTCACCGGAAAAATATTTCGGCGACTTTTCTATATCAAAATTTTCGCGGGAAACCATCACTCATCTATCGCCTCGACACCGCCACCGCCACGTGAAACCGCATACGGCCCCTCACCCCAGCTCCAGCCCACTCCCCTTCACCCCCAACCCCCTCCCCAACCCCCTCCCCTGCACCTCCATCAACCTCCCCAGCCCCCTACACCTCCATCCCCCTCCCCCGCTCCCCCAGCATCCTCCCCTGTTCCCCCAGCCCCCTCCCTTGTTCCCCCAGCCCCCTCCCCTGCACCTCCATCAACCCCCAGCAGCCCAATGCCACCCCTGCCCCCACACTTGTCGATCGCCACCTTCTACCCTAGCTATTAGAGCCCGGCCAATGCACGGCGCCGCACTCTAGCCCCCAAACCTAGCTGTCACCCAGCCTGTAACTCTAGTCACCGCTCACCTCGTTTCTATAACCCTAGCCCCCGCCGTAACCCTGGATGCCGCCCCACGTTGAAAGCCTGACCGACACACCAATCCAGAGTTTCTGACCAGTGGATGTCATAACAGAGGGGGTTGTCATCGGCGACGGATTTATCGCAGATCTGGTTGTCAAAAGTTCGCTGCCCTCCCGATATGTTCATTGCACCCCCAAGATCAGTTAGAAAGAGAAGAAAAAAGAGGTAGATGACGATGCAGGTGAACAACGACATTGGCAAATGGAGAGGTAGACGCCGACGATGAGGCAACACGGTTGTGGTGATTTCCTACTCAGAGGCGGTGATTTTCAGAGGTCTCCACACCTAGGGTGTTGATGAAGAAGAGATGCACAGTAGCAGAGACCAGGAGCATGAGAGACGCAACAACGAAGTAAGTGAGTAACGGGAGAGATGGGCTGAGCGTAGGAGTAAATTAGTTTTTTGTCCAAACACATTTTGGTCATATTTTTGTCCATTAAAACTCTACCAATAATATTTGAGTCGTTATTTCCATAGTTAAAGTTAGGGTTTGGAACCTTTAGCAACGGACACCATACGAGAAAATAGAGTTTGAGAATAATGGTTTACCTAACTAGGTAGCCTCATGATATATTTATACTATAATATTAATAGGAAGGTACAATGATATCCTTAAATATATTGCTTATTACGTATGATGTCACTATGGAGTAAGATAATAATAATAACTAAAAGTAATCAAGTCATTTTTTATTCTTTATCCTCATTTTCATCAGACATCAGGTATTATAAGAAACAAACGATATTCTACTCTAATTGATTATTCATATATTTTAAATTTTATTTAATATTGCAATATAAACACAATGTGCATATAATTAGGAAAATAAATAAGTAATGCTATATATAAATGCAAACATTAGAATATGAATGAATGTGTACAATCACTAACCAAATTAATACCAAGACTCTGTAAGACTCGAAATATAAATGAATACAAATTTCTTATATAAAGATATCAAATTCAATAGAAAAGATGTCTATTTGACTTTTTTTCCATTTCTTTTATGACATGAAACCGACCACCCTTACTAGACACCCTCTAGTTCTTTGAGGGCTTGAGGCTTTATATAGGGAGGAGATATCAAGAATGAATCAACACATAATATCACCTCTTCTTCCTCTGACCTCAACCTCTTCATATCCATGGCAGTCTTTAGCCGGCCCCTCTTCTTCTTCCTCCTCCTCACTCTCTTCTCCTCCTCCTCATTCCATCTGATTCAGGCCGTGAGAGACGCCCAATATTTCTTCAACAAAATCCCAAGCACCAATGATAATGGCTACTACCTCCCCAAAACAGAGCAAAAGCAGCAGATCAGTAATTTCCCAGAACAAGAAGAAGAAGAACCGAAATTTTCCACCGAGAATGAAAATAGCCATGGTCTTTTCGGGCAGGCCACGACCGCCGCCGCTGATCAACGACAACAACCCGACAAAAGATACCTTCCCAAAAACTACAACCCTGTTTCATACGTTACTGTCGCCGAAGACAGCCCTGTATCCGACGCCGCCGGCGACGAAGAGGAGTCAGAGGCAGAGGACGTAGATGATTCTAGTTTCGTGAACGAAAAAGAATTCAAACCAACCACCTCCTCCGCCGCCGCCGGCCTCGACGGAAATAGATACTACGACAATAGCGACCGGCAATCAAGCATGCCCATTGATGAATCTGCTTCTTTCATGGAGCAGAGCCGCCGCGGCCACAACTCCGCCGGTGCTTCCGCCGCCGGCGAAGAGAATAACTACTACGGCAATGGTGCCGGAGTAGAGAAGATGGGTATGAGCGACACGAGGTTCTTGGAGAACGGGAAGTATTACTACGATGTGAAGACTGAAAAGTACGCGAGACATCCATTGGAGAATGCAGGAATTGACCTTGCATCTCTGAAGAACAGCGTCCGGCCGAATCAATTCGTGGACACTGCCCAGTTCCAGGACAATGAAAATCAGCCTTGATGATGATGGGATTTTCTTTACGTTTAGTGTTTCTTTTTCTTCAATTTCACAAAAAACGTGCAACCCAAACATTCAATTAAAGTAAAAAGATGAGCCCAGGCGAGGCCATCATGTTGTCTTATTAATCATTTTCCAGTGTCATTTATCTAATATCGTACGGAGTATTTGTTTAACGGGTTTGTTGTTTTCGGTGCTATGCAAGTATGGAACAACTAGCTTTTAGTGGAGCTATGTTTGAATAACCATTTGATCTCAAAAGTAATTGAAATTTGATCAATTAAGACAATTAATTTAGGGAAAATCGCACATTTCGTCTGTGAAATAGTCGTCATATTGAAATGTCAGATCCGTATTTCGGAGGTTGTAATTGTCACCTCTTAATTGTCCAAATTGCTGTAAATGTGGTCCCTTGAGGGGTGAAATGTACTTCTCGCCCATAGTGTACATTTCACCCTCAAAGGACCACATTTACAGCAAATTGGACAATTGAGGGGTGACATTTACAAACTCGGGAATACGGGTCTGACATTTCAATATAGTGACTTGATGGAGTATATGGCCCGGGAACCCCCGACACACAGACTCCTACTACTCCAGCGAAGGCTCGACAGGCCCAAAAGGCCCAACAGGCCCAAATCACAGCGCCCAGAGTACCAAGCAGTCCGCACTACGCGTCAGGGGTGCCTCCGGCCCCCTGGCTGAAGGCTCCAAATTCTCACAGAACGGGTTTCTCAAGCAAATTAAGAAACTGGGAGAAAACGGCGAAAACAGTAGCCCTCGGCACTGTGAGCCCTCGGCACCAGGGTGCCATCGGGTGGAAGAGCCCTCGGCTACTGCTCTATAGCCGAAGGCATCTCACTCGACAAGATATCCGCCTCACATGCGTACAGATCACCGTACCCCGCATAGACGTCCCATCCAACAGCCGCATTAAATACGGCCACATGCAGCTGCCAGCGCCAACCAGTTGAGGTGACCCCTCGGCCAATGAGCGCTTGACACGTGTCCCTGTCCGACATTTATTGCTACTATAAATAGCACCCCATTTTCTCATTTGTAACCACGCTGAAAACGGCATTCATACTGAATACACTCTCTCTACTTTTACTTACTTGCTCTGACTTCTCTCTAAGTTATTCCCCGTAATAACCCTTCGGATATATACCCCCGGGTAGACTATCCATCATTTGGTGCTCTCGTTGAGAGGTCGAACAATCAAGTAAGAAACCCTCCCCCTCGACCAAACGCAAAACACTAGCCCTCCATCAAAATGGTGAGGACAACACGTGCCAACTCAAAGAACGTAGAAGACAAGAACCTGGCCCTCGGCGACGTCAACGCCCCTGAAGCCTCTCACAGGGCTCCCGAGGGCGGTGTCATCGCCGAGCTGGAACAGGCGGCTGTCGACCTACGCCTTCAGATCCAACAAAATGCCCCCGATGCCCGCCTCGGCATCGAGGCCAAGAAGAAAAACCGGAGCGATGACCAAGTCAGCCCTCCGGTTCTCACCATCGACGTACAATCGGCGCTCTCCGCCTTCATCCAAACGCTCACCCAGAACCCGGGTGCCTTCGGCACCCTGGCTCCTGCTCACCCTCAGATCGGGGAAAATATCATACTTCCCCCTCTGCCACACCCCTTCGGAAATCCCACCCCTCGGGTGAGAAACGACGAAGGGGTGGTGGCCCAAGATACGTCCTCCCAGGAAGTTCAGTCCCGGGACCGCCATAATGACAACAGGGAAAGGCCCCGTACTTCCGCCCTCAACCGGCTCGGAGGAGGGCCAGACCGTCGAGGGGTCCAAAGGCCCCAGGAAAGCGGGGGATCTGTTTCGAGGGCAGACGAGGAGCGTCCCCCTCGGGACAAAGGCAAGGCACCCCTTCATGCCGATGACGCTCGCCACCAGATCAACCAGGCCCACTCGGCCTGGGTTCGTTCGCAGGGGGCGGAGACCCTCCCGAAGGATCCCCGGGACGAAATTATTGCGGCCCTCCAACGCCGGCTTGACGAGATGGAGTCCAACAAAGCTCACGCCACTACCTCCACCCCTCATTCAGATCTCAAATACGAGGCCATGATGGCCAAAATGGAGGAGTTGCAGAAGAAGGTGGCCGAGGGCTCCGGAGAACCCGTCATCCAGCTCCGGACTCGGACGCCATTTACCCCAAGGGTATTGGCGGCCCCGATCCCGGAGAAATACCGAGGGCAACACATACAGCCCTACAACGGGAAAACGGACCCCCAGGAACACTACAACAAATACCAGAACAGCATGATGATGGTGGGGGCGTCAGACGAATATTTGTGTCGATGGTTCCTCTCCACCTTAGAGGGACCGGCGTACGAATGGTTCAACAGGCTGCCCGAGGGCTGCATTGATTCGTGGCAAGAACTCGCCCAGCGATTCTTGACACAATTCGCCGGGAGGCGTCGCACAAGGAAGCACTTCTCCCACCTCCTAACAATACGCCAGAAGAAGGATGAGACCCTTCGGGATTTCCTGGAGCGCTGGAGGACGGAGGCCGACAAGGTCGACGGTGCTGATGAGGGGACCCTCCTGGCCCTCTTACAAACCGTCGTCCGCACCGGCAATTTTTCAAGGAGCCTCATCATTGAACCCCCCCGCGACTACATAAGGGCTTTGCAGCGGGGGGACCGATATGCTGAGGCCGAGGAGGTGGAGAAGTATCACCAGCATCCGGACCAGCAGCCCCCGAGGGCTGACAACAAGCATAACCGAGGGCCGAGGGCTCCTCCAAATCACCCCAAGGCTTCGGGACCCTCTGATGACCGCCCTCGGCAAGGCCAAGCCAAGCCCGGGGGAGGATATAAGGGCAACCCCAAGACTTGGGCACAACCCATTCTCCTGGACCACCCTCGGACACCATTGACCATCATCCTCGATTTTGCCGAGGAGAGGGGCCTCGTTGAGCGTGATTCTCGCGCACCCCCGGAGGTACACGCTATCAACCCTCAGTTCCCCTACTGTCGCTTCCATCGGCACCAGGGGCACAGGACCGATGACTGCCATAAGCTGAAGACGGCCATCGAGAGATTAATACAGGCGGGGCACCTGTCCCAATTTGTCCAGAGCCCTCGGCAGGAGGGACCTTCTCATCAGGGACCTCCCCGAGGGCACCATACGAAGGTAAATGCTTGGGTAAACCCGAATACCATCCCCCTCGGCAAGAAGAGGGAGATTGGAAACTTGGAAGAAGAGGAGGAGGAATACCCCCACTACCAGGAGAAAAAACGCCACATCCTCATGATCACCGGTGGCAATACAGGGGGCGATTCCACCAGCCAACGAAAGAAGTGGGCTCAATCGCTTTACGTGGGGGAAGTCACTCATATGCCCCCGGTAAAGCGACTGAGGGAGGAACCCATCACCTTCACCAACGCGGATCTCCCTCCTACTTCTTCTCCTCACAGGGATGCCTTGGTGATTCGGACGGAGATAAACGACACCATTATTCACCGAACTTACATTGACACGGGCAGCTCCATCAATGTAATGTACCTCAGCACCTTCAGAGAGCTGCATCTGGAGAGGGGGTCCCTTCGGCCCATTAAGACCCCTCTTGCCGGCTTCACCGGCGATACTATTGATTCCGAGGGGGTAATAACCCTCCCGGTGATCTTCGGCGACGGGCTCCATAGAGCCCAGCTCGAGGTGGAGTTCGTCGTCGTCAACATTGACTGCGCCCACAACATCATCCTCGGCCGGCCAGCCCTCGAGGACCTCGAAGCCATCATTTCCATGAGGCACCTTTGCCTCAAATTTCCCGCCGAGGGGGGCATTGGCTACTCCCGGGGGAACCAGAAAATTGCCCGTGCCTGCTATCTTCAGGTCACTAAGAAGGTAAGCAAGACGGAATTCCGTGTTGACACCATCAACGGAACCAATGACCAAGAGGAGAGAAGGCCGAGGGCTGAACCGGCCGAGGACGTAGAAGACTTTGCGCTCGATCCGGCCCAGCCGGAGAGAGTCGTGAAGATTGGAGCCCAGCTCCCTGAAGATTTGAAGACCGGTATCACCGACGCCCTCCGCGCCTACTCCACTGTCTTTGCATGGGGGCCGGAGGACATGCCGGGAATCAGCCGAAGGGTCATCACCCACCGCCTCTCGGTGGACCCCTCGGCAAAAGCAGTACAACAACGAAGGAGACCCCTCTCCGCCGAGAGGAGGGAATTCGTGAAGAAGGAGGTCGCCATGCTCCTCTCAATTAAGCACATCAAGGAGGTGAAATACCCCTCATGGCTAGCAAATGTAGTCCTCGCACAGAAGCCCCCTACCTTCCGCATGTGCGTGGACTACACCGATCTCAACAAAGCGTGCCCTATGGATCCATTCCCTCTACCAAACATTGATCAACTGGTGGATGAGACCGCAGGGTGTGAGATCATGTCCTTCCTCGACGCCGAAAAAACTGCCTTCATGACTCCTGAGGGCATCTTCTGCTACCTAGTGATGGCCTTCGGCCTAAAGAACTCGGGGGCCACTTACACCCGGATGGTGGCCCGGGTCTTTCAAGCCGTCCTAGGGCGCACCATGGAGGCCTATGTTGACGACATGATCGACAAGAGCAAACAATCTTCCAGCCATGCTGACGACTTCCGGGAGATCTTCGCCATCATGCAAAAAATCAACCTTCGGCTAAACCCGAAGAAGTGCACCTTCGGCGTCCAAGGGGGCAAATTCTTGGGCTACATGGTGAGCCGAAGGGGTATTGAGGCCAATCCCGAGAAGATCCAGGCCATCATCAACATGGAGCCCCCACGCAATGTGAAGGAAGTCCAACGGTTGACGGGCCGCCTGGCAGCCCTCAACCGCTTTCTGTCTAAATCAGCGGAGAAATCTCTACCCTTCTTCCAGATCATGAGGAAGACGGCTAGCTTTCTATGGACTCCGGAATGCCAGGGGGCTTTCGACGAACTCAAGCGGTATCTATCTTCACCCCCTGTGCTCTCAAAACCGAAGGTAGGGGAGACCCTCTATCTCTATCTTGGGGTCAGCCCGGCGGCCATCAGCTCTGTGCTCATCCGGGAGGAAGACGGCATCCAACATGCCATCTTCTACGTTAGCAAGACCCTAAGGGAGGCCGAGCTCAGGTACTCCCCTGTGGAAAAAACGGTGTTGGCCATCGTTTGGACTGTCAAGAAGTTGGGCCACTACTTTCAGGCTCACCCGGTTCAGGTCCTCACTCATCAACCCCTCGGCGCCCTCATGAGGAGCCCCACCAGCTCCTCCCGCATGGTGAAATGGGCTATCTTCTTGAGCCAGTACAAC